ATAGAAGATTTGTAATAGGTAGGTAGCTATTGGGTCATTGATAGTTTGGAGATAATAAAAATCGTTCGAAATTGATATGAAAATGATTGAAGTCATCTCGTTTCATGGGCTCAGAACTGTCATTATAAATTACACAGATCTGGTAGCTGAAACTCCTTCTGAAGAACTCTGTCCGGAAGGATGGCGGAGTTAGTCGGCCTTTATACCTTACATCAATATTATGCACATCAGTTCTAAAAGTCATTTTCTGGTGTAAGTAAGACGGCACTTTACCATTAATTATTTTGTGAAACAAAGTTGCAGCATGTAACACTCTCCTGTTGTTCATATTTAACCAGCCGGTATCCTTCAGTTTATGTGATATTCTTTCTCTTCTTCTAATACCAAAAATTAACCGTAGGCAGGAATTCTGAACTTTTTGTATCTTTTTTTTGAATTGGTTGGTTAAACATAAACCATACAAAACATCAGCATAATTGAAAATAGATAAAACTAATGATTCGCACAAATTCGCCTTCACCTTCATGGGTAGAAAATTTCGGTGTCCATATATAATTTTCAGCGAATAATATGCATGCCCAATAAACTGATTAACCTGGCTTTCGAATGTCAAGTCCTCATCTAAAATGATGCCCAGGCTTTTGGTTTCTGGAACAACCCCAAGTACAAGATCATTTACTACTACTTTCACAGATTTGCAAATATCATTTCTAGTACCTTTTGGTCCGGAAACAATTACATTGGATTTACTACAATTTATATTCAAGAAGTGATTAGAAGCATTTTTTACAAATAATTTTAAGTCACTATTGATTTGAGTACACGCATTATCTATCATTTCAGGTGAGAAGCTATAATACAACTGGGTATCGTCTGCATACAAATGTATATTACAACATTTTGAACATTTTGCAAGTTGAGATGTGTAGATAGCAAACAAAAAGAGTCCCGAAATGGAGCCCTGTGGCACTCCACATATCAACTTCACATATTGTGAGCTGTTTCCTTCTATGGTAACCTTTTGTTGACGGTTGGTGAGATACGATCTGATTAGTGATATAGCATTTTTAGAAGAGTCCTATATAGCCAAGAATTAATAACATTAAATCGAAGTTAATAGTATCGAACGCTCTACTAAAATCAAGAAGTACCAATACTGCATTATTTTTTTCGTCACGTGCTCTTATAATATCGTCCACTATATGCAACAAAGCAGTTGTACAACTATATCCTTCACGAAATCCGGATTGAGTTATTGGAAGTATAGAGAAATTGGCAATATGTTCTTTCATTATCGATAAACGATTGACTTCTATACTAAATTGCAATAGTTTCTCACTAACTCATGATGCCAACTGGAATTTGCCCTTCCTAGGTCCGTATGAAGTTCAGCAGGTAATATTTGTGCAGTATCAGTCAGTAGAAAATCATTGAAAGCAGAAATGGTAATAAAATTTCAATCGTAGTTTATATTAATCGACTGAATCTTTCTGCACTTACCTTTTACAACGAAAAAAGTACATCTATCTATCAAAGTTAACAATCCTGAAGCAGGATTCAAAAAACAATGAACATATAAAGTACTTATTTATGGAAATCTCTTCCATATTTTGTGCTCTATTGAAGGAATTCATCCGGGTTGTTGATTTTATTGTTACAGTTGAAATATATCATGCAACTGTACTTAATTATTTTATAATATGTTCGCTCCACAAGTCACAAGTTGAAATGAGGACAAACAGGGGTCACTCAGTCTGAAGGTCGATTGATTTTTTTTGTATAGGCTAGAAACTTGGTATTTTCTAATATATGTGATTGATGACTTGTTTATTTTGTGGTAGGTAATTCATGATCACTTTAATGAAATGAATAAAAACACTTTTGACTAATTACCACTAGTTAATTTTATTTATATGACCGGTTTCGGGTTTAACCCCATTATCATGTATAAAACTGAAATGTGATTGGAAACTCGGTTATTTTGGGAGTTTTCAGGTAAGATAGAAGGACAGGTGATTGAACAAAAAGTAGTTGAATGAACCAGGGTGGTCAAAGATGATGTGGGCAGTGGAAGGGCAAGTTTATTATCGCTACGCGTAGACCTTTCTGTATGGCTTTCAAACTTTTTGTTATGTTTGTGAAGTAATTAGACAGTCTCGAGAATGAATATTTCAAATATTGTTGATATTTTGTTTCTGCAGGAAAGTGGCCTACACGAGTCACACATCTTCAATTTGAATATTATTCTCAAAGCTCTTTTCTGGATAAAGAATATACTCTGCATCAGAATCTGGCTGCCTGAGCTCCAGAATGGAATTCCATACCGGAGATGACATTTATGGCAAAATAACCAGAAAATGATATCTTTTTTAAAGCAGTAATTTGCGTACAAATTTCAAATTACTGCCAAAGAATATACCAAGAAATTCAGTTACAGGCTAACTGTCAATCATGTGTTCACCTAGTATTACTTGTTCTAAATCCCACTTGAATGTCATTAGATTATTTTTAGAAACGTTCAACGATAGCATATTCGATTCTCACCATTTTTTAGTTTTTCGAAATCTTAGTCAAAGTATTTGGATCTTTATTACGCGAAAATACCGTAGTATCATCCGCAAACAAGGTTGATGCTCCAGATATATCAAGTTTTGTCATCGTTAATATACAAGGTGTAACATAAGTACGTTGAAATATTCAAGTGACGTATTTCTGAGAGAATTTTAAGAAAAAAATCCTATATGAACTTGTGTCCCAAAATGCTTCGTTTCGGAGATACGGGGTGTACCCAGGATTTTTTTGACGTGGAAAATCATGATTTCGTATTAATTCTCATGTAAAATCTAGAGGGCGCTGCGTACGCTGTCATTATTTATTTCAAATTGCCCTAACTTTTTTGACAGTCAACTTTTGGTACTTTTCATGAAAAAACCTAATCACCACACCTTTTCCAAGTATCGGTGATCGTTTTGGAGATATTTACAATTTTCTATATCGATTCATATTACTTAGCTCCTAGGGCGCCAAGTGAAGTTGCTGAGAACGTTACAAAAACTAAGTATGTGGTGGATCTCGTCAAAATAAACAACTTTTTTTTATAAAATGCTCAGCGAAGAATGATTCGTTTTCGAAATACAGATTGTTGAAATTTTTCAAAACATGAGCAAGACCTCCATCGTGCATAAACCAAGAGTGATTTCGGAGACCAATGGGAACATCTACAATAAGTTGGGGAAGCTCGTGTTACAAAAAATGTAGGTGAGCATCTCCATTCAAACGTAAGGGGAGAAAATAAAGACCAATTAAATAATCCCCAACTATGTCTACCCATACATTAAAAGATAATCTGTCTTGGAAATGAGTTTGCGTTGTTGCATGCGGGTTATCTTTCGCCCAGATGTGGTTGTTATGGAAGTTCATGATACCATTTCTTGAAAAATTAGCGTCATCTGTGAAGAGGATTTTCGATAAAATTCGCGGATGTTGTTCGATTTTTCTTTGAAAAATCGAACAACATCCACGCACGCTGAATATGATAAGGATAAAATTGCTGTTCCTTCAAAATTCTGTAAACTGTCATGTGACTCACATTCAAAATTTGACTAATTATTCTTGTACTTGTCTCTGGATGTTCACTAATTTCTTCGGGAACCGCCTCCTCCAATTCTACAGTTCTTGTAGTCTATGGCCGTCCTACTGCAGAATTTGTTTCAAAGCTTTCAGATTCGGAAAGTCGCCGGAAAAGATTCGCAAATGTCGCTGCTCCGAACTGTGAATTTGTCAATCAATAGTTGAAAATGTGACAGCGAACTTCTATTTTCATAAACAAACATTCATAGCCTACTCGATTCAATCAACTTAATTTGCAAGCGGAGAGTGACAAAAATTATTGAAATCAAATTTGGCTATAAAGTAATATGCATCGATATAGAAAATTGTAAATATCTCGAAAATGATCACCTCCAGCGTTGTTGAGGAAGTGTATCTTTTTTACTAGGAAAAGGTGTAGAAATTAGTTTTTTTCATGAAAAGTACCAAAAGTTCACTCTCAACAAAGTTAGGGCAATTTGAAATACATAATGACAGCGTACCCAACGCCCTCTAGATGTTACATGAAAATCAATACGAAATTATGATTTCCTACGTCAAAAAAACCCCGGGTACCAAATTTCGTGCAAATAACTTATTTTTTGCAAGAGTTATTTTCAAAAAGCGAACAAAAAAAATCAATTTCAACACCCCATATCTCCGAAACGAAGCATTTTCCGACACAAGTTCATATAGACTTTTTTTCTTAAAATTGTCTCAGGAATACGTCACTTGAATATTTTAACGTACTTATGTTACACCCTGTATAGCAAGAATGAATTTGGGCCTAGGACTGACCCCTGAGGAACTACGTGTACAATTTTTCCACTATCAGAAGTGTTGTTGCTGAATGTTTTTTTTGAATGAATGTAAAATATACTATTCTGTATTTCAATGAAGTTTTTTTGTTCACTCAAAGTGAAATGTAGATATAGAACACATACAGCAAATCAATGATACATGAAATGAAATAAACAAACTGTAGAATTGCAACCCATTGGAATATTGGAAAAATACTGCAAATTTTAATAATTCTCGCATTTTCAATACAAAAAACAAATTAGAATTTTCCTGACTATCGTCTACCAGCCAAAACTGCCAACGTTATTAGGAAAAATATAATACTGTGTATTTATATCATGAGAGAGGTATCAAATAAATTTCCGGTGTTCCAGGGATGTAATTAAACTTCAATCCAGAGTCTCTCAGTTTCAAACGTTTCGAAATTATAAATTCTGTTTGTGTCTTGCGTATTCCTTTGATATTCCATCTGCTGGAGGGCTGATGAAAATGACGCATGATGAGTTATGTCCCGTGAGACAGAGAGAATAGAATTTTTCACTGCCTGTCCCACAGAAACGTTCAACTTGAGAAAGAGGAAAATATTTTTCATTGGATAATAATTGTTACAGATTCCCTACTTGTGAATGTCAGCGTATTGCTGCTCAGTTTGGCCTCCCCAGATGAGTCCAGTTTGGTGAGTATTCTCTATACATTTCCTACACTAACTATGATTTAGTAAATAATTGAGATGGTTTTCCTACTCACTTGACTTATGGCTGACGAGCGGCTTGGCATGGGTGCAATTTGAAGTCGAAATTTCGCTGTGAAAGATAGTTCGAGTCCACGTATCAACATTAACAAATTAAGTAACTCTTAGTTGTCAGTGTCAAGGTTTTATCATTACTGCGGTTTCACAGACACCTCTCAGAGCCAATTCAGTTGTAATTGAGCTATGAAAGGAATTTGTTTACTCGAAAGCAACTTTGTGTGGTTGCTTCGTTTATTATTTTCATCCTTTCCCGAGTAGAGAAGATTGGATCCTCCGGGAGAGGGAAATATTAAGACCAGATAGTTGTTGGTTCAGAGATGGATCAACAATACCTTCAGTTTTTGGTGCAGGTGTTTTTAGTCGCCCTACAAGGCCAAGCTCGCGAAACTGCTTTTCTATTTTGCTTATTGTTTCTTGAGATATGTGCGGTAAATTAGGAAATTTCTCATGAAATAGGCGAGCTACTTCCTGTTGTGTTTTATCTCCGTAACCAATCATTTGTGAAACTGTTATTTTATGCATTTCCGTTAATCCAACCATTTGTCAGACTTGAAGTTAACGAACTGTAAACTTAAATTAAAATACTGACAACTGATATTGTGACATATAAAACAAATTGACAAGGCCTTTTAAACTAACATTGTCACGGAAATTATTTAGTGTTTTAAAGGATACCATCTAAAAAAACATTGCTATGGTTTTTGCTCACTTTCTTATTATTAATACCTCAACATGAAATGAGTTTTGAGTATATTGCAATACTTTCTGAGAGTATTTTATCGAATTTCAATAACCACATGATTTTAGTTTAATTTTGTATCTTAATTGTTCCAATAAACTTGATAGCAATAACATTTTTGAATAGAGAATGAAGAAACTCTCCAAACGATATATCACAAGCCTATACTTCCCATTCGAAAAATCGGGGGTTGTACCTGTCATTCGACGAGGGTTGAAGGTAGGGGTAGTATTTTTCCGTTGAAGTATGTCAAATCATAATTTAAATTTGATGTGTTTTGAGATTTTGTTGAAATAGTGTATGAGGTTTCACATGTATGAGTGGCAGTTATGTTTTTGTCAACAATGTCAAGTTGTTAGCAGAATACAAAATTTCCCACTAACAGCCTGACAATGGGGCTAACATGAACTAAAATGTGAATAAGTGGGTCATTTATTTTCGGCTTCTCACACACCCTTTCTGATTCGCGCAATCAGAGAAACGCCGGCGTTAATGATAATGCAATTTTTCATCTGCAAGCTGAGTCAGACGCCAATCCAGAAAATTGATTGCGCCAAATTCTCGCCTCGTAACATGTTTCAGTTCATTATTTCGAAGAGTTGTGGAAAGAACGAAAAATATACGCTCACGCCCATCGAACGGAATCCCAATGAACCGAATGAAATTTTACAGGGATACTTCCTACTATAGTGTATGCCATTAGAAATGTATGCCAGAATAAAAACTTTAGGCAAAGATGCGCGAACGAGCAAAAAACTATTTCATAATATATCGAGTGGAACGGAAACAAAATTATTGAATACTCTGGCGAAAAGTAACGATAAATGAAGGAAATGAAAAATAAAAATGAAGAACTTATCAGTAATCCAGTAGAAATGGTCGAAATATTCAACAACAATTTCCTAAGTAATCGTATATCCATCTTCTTTCTTCCAACTCCTGACAGTGGAGGAATAATATTCATTGATGACATGAAAAATAAAGGAGCCACGATATTATTTTCCTGACTGTACTAGGAGATATTGATTATTATTGACATCATTTCAGCAATGAGCATACAACACAAGTTATCCAACTTATAGACAACGAAAAGTCAAAATCAAAAACGTGATAAGCAAAAAAAGATGCGGTGTACCTCAAGGTACGGTGACAGGGTCGCTATGTTATTTAAATAACATAATATATGGATAGCATCTTCCTTTAGAGAAAATATGAATGAATTCCCATTTCTGCGAATGACACTGTGATAGTTTGAAGAGCTGAAGATCTATATGATCTGGAAGTCGAAGCAGAAGATGACTTGAAAAATGATTTGATAATAGACTCCTCACGGTCATTATTGAAAAAAATCTACTACTCAAAATTAAGTTGTCGAAAAGTTCTTTTCCCTACTAGGATTCGATCATGTCGCAAGATTCAAAAACCTCTGGGAAAATGAAATATATATCTAGATCCACACTTGAGATAGAAAAATAATATATCCTATCTTGTGAGAAAGCTACGTTGTCAACTATTCAAATTCAAATAATTCATCTCTCATCCAGACCCCAACAATAAAAAATTGTTTAGTGGAAACTCACTTGAATCGTGACATCATTGCGTGTGGAATTTACCTAAATATGATAGAGGTCCAGTGTTATTATCTTCATTCGGGTTTGATAGTCTGGCTCACAATATCCTTTTTTTGTAACTTCTGTCCAAGGGCATCGAAAATTATGATTCAGAGTTCATTCGATTCGGAATGACCTCCAGCTAATTTTTGAATAATTTCAAGAGGGACTCGAAAAAATTACAAAATTTCGTAAAAAAGGGGTTTTCGCAAATATCCCGGAAAATATTGAAAATATCTGAGAATTGAAAAAAAGATCCTCAAAGAGGTGAAAATTTCCTGAAAAAAGTCCCACCTTCTGAAACTCTATCACCAATATTCATAATTTTAATTTCGAAGCGGAAAAAAAGAATTATATTAAAAAATTTGTGAGAAATTGAGACAAAATCTGAGGACTTCATTTCAGTTGTTTTTGCGGGCAATTCCAAGCGACCACATCTGCATGTTCACCGGTTCAGAAAATTATCATCCAGCCACTCCGGTTCATTACGGGTTATGGCCTCAGAAGCTTGTAAATAATTCTGATGACCTTCTGTTTAATTTATCAGGAGAGAATTTATGTTTCTCAAAGTATTTCAATAAAACTAAAAAATACCCTACAATCCACAATTACTACTTTTATCGGTTGTTGAGGAGTTACCACATCGGATCCTCAAATATTACCTTTTAATCTTTCTGCAATAGGTTTTCTTCTCCATGGCATTCTTCTTATGGCATATTGGATTATCTGGAAACTTCTGATTGGATGTTCTTTCTGCTTCATGATAGTCAAACCCTGATTCAGCATAAATGAAAACTGCTTCGATTTATCAGATTGGCATTATGCAATATGTAAATGTGACAACTTGAGGAGACACATGAATATCAATAATATCAACACGATTTTCTGTAAAATTTTCTTATTGTTGACAGAATAGCAATATGGTGGGAAAGGTTTTGGGTCTGTACTTCGTCATCTATATAAAAAAAGCAACCAATAACGACGAATCTAGAATCTTTCCTACTAGAAACATTAGGAAACTTATGCCAGTTGAATTTGAAATTTCCTTAGTTCATGATTAGTATTATTTCATTATTATAATTCGTATTTATTCATTCATTACACAGGCCAACAAAAAAAATATTTCTGAAAACTGTTTTCACTTCAGTAGCTTATTTTTATAGATTTTTGTGTGCTGAATCCAAATCTGGTCTTAGTTTTTTTTATCACCCATAGTTTTTGAGAAACTGACTTTTTTTATATAATTTAAAATCTATACGGTATATGGTCAAATTATTGAAACACTATATGTTAAATCACTATCATGGTTTTTATTTACAGAAGGTAACTTGAAATAATGATACAGTGTTGTAATGTAGGTGTCACTAGTCAGATGGAATTGGTTTATACTTCCATTCTCTTTTTTCATTGAAGTTCCTTGTGTAGCTTTTTCTACGATGAGTCGCTTATTGAGCTTCACGGTGAAGTGACCAACAATAGTCTCCCATCATGTTGATGTTCCAGCGGCCCTGGTGACGTTTTTCCATTTTGATATAGCTTCTGAAAGGTTTGGAAATTTCCGACAGAAATACTTGAAATAAGGCAATGTCTTTACAAACTGTTTCATGAGGCCTAACTTTATATGTAGAGGTGGTAAGAGAATGTTTTTAAGATCTACAAGGTTTTTGCGGTGAATGTTCTCGCCGGGTTTCAAAGAATCCCTCCAAGCCAGTTCTTTCTGCACCAATGTTAATCCCTTACTCTACTGTCCCATTCACACAAAAAACATAGAAATTTGGTAAAACCGCCTTGCTGACCAAGAAGCATGCATGTTACTTTCAAGTCACCACATATCATCCAACCATGAGCCGAATAGCCAATTTTATTCAACACTATTTCTAGGTTTTCATAGGTCTCTTTCGTATGTACAGGATGGCCAACAGGTATAGATGCATAAGTGTTACTATTGTGTGATGAAACATTTTTCAAACTGGTTTTGGAAGAATCGATAAACAGCCTCCAGTCTCCTTTTTTGTATCCAACACCAAACTCTTTGATCAGACATGGAATGTCTGAGCAGTACACTAAATCACCTTCTTGTTCAAAAAATTTCGAAAACTGCTGCTCTCTCTTCCTATACACATATATGCTAGTTCCAACTGACAAAAAGTTCTTTTCTTTCAGTCTAGAACCAAGCAATTCGGTTTTTTTTTTGTTAACCCAGATCTCCTAACAAAGTCGTTAAGCTCAATCTGAGTAAACAGTTTAGGCTCTATATTTGCTGTAGGACATTGGAACTCTTCATCATCTTACTCATCTATATCTGAAAGTACATCAGAAAATATTTCAGTTTGAACAGAATTCAAATCATCGAAGATTCTGGGACCGGCAAATCTACATCGTGCCCTACTGGTCGGATGACATAAATTAGGTTAGGGTAGCTTTTCATCTTCTTGTTTTTCAACTTCTGGCCAGTACTATCAATACTACAAAAGTAGCAATCATCAGTGTGGTTTCTAGGTTCCCTCCATAACATAGAAACGACGTACTCAAAGGCTTTTTTCTTTTTTTTTTTTGTCCATTTTCTAAGATCTTCAACACAAACATAACATACCTTATGAAGGGCCTAAGATTTATCCAGATCACCAGGTTCAATTTCAAAATATGAGAAATAAACCTGTCAGCAGAGTTCCTACAACCGCAATCAGACATTTCAATGAGCACAAGTACTGGAAACCAGAAAGTAAGGTTTGGTTGACAGTAAACAAAACATCAGCTGTGAACAAAACATCCAGCACAAATAATTTTACAATTTTATTTTAGTATATAAAACCTTTAAATTATGTAATAAATCAAAAAATTTAATATATTGATGTGCAAATGTGAAAAAATGGTAGTTGATACGGCTCAATAAGTGTCATATTTGGATTTAGCACCCTAAAAAACAGAATAAGGTGTTTTGAGTGGAAAAGTTTTTTATCGTTGGCCTGTGTTATTGGTCGAAGAAGAAATGTAATATCCGTTATCTTTGCAATTATGAGGTTGGAATAGGGGAATGACAGCTAATGAAATATTGAGTTTCTTTCACGAACCAGAACCTTTTAGGAACCAGAAAACCTGATATTGTATTTATTTCAACTGTTGAGCGATACTTGAACTGTTGGAACCTCCGACTTCGGTGTAGTGAATAAATATTACAGAAGTTCTATCCCAACACCAAACCGTTATTTTCATTTGGAAATTAATTTTAAGCGAAGCAAAATTCAGATATCTAGCTGAGGTATTTATCGTATTGATAAGGACAACATTGTATGTAGGTTTAGTTTAATCTTTCTCTTGAAGATGATCATTAACTTAAAAGAATTTATAAAATTATTACAATATGTTAAAACAACGATAAAAATAAAATAAATACAACAATAAAAATTAATTGGCGCTCCGGGGCGACTTCATTAATTCCAGTGGCGCATTTGCTTTTTCAGCTGCAGGAAAACCCGGAAAAACCTGCAGCACCACATCATCTGAAGATCTTGATCTAACAATGTCCTCTCTCTCATAAAACAAAATGTAGGGTGTCTCCAGAGGCTCCAATAAAAGCACGTTTCTTCTTTGAGAAAGGCGTAATAATGACTACAATTTACTGATTGAAAAACGTATCGAGATGTTAAAAATAACGATTTGGTGTTGGTAACATTCAGTAACATTCATTGAACGATAGCAATAAAAAGAGAAAGTGATCGAAAGTATTTGTTGACTGTTTCAAAGAGTTTCTTTTTTATAGAAATATGAAGTGGAATTTCTGCTCCAGCAGCAATGGTACGATCCACGACTGCAGTATTCAAATCAGAGCCAGTACAACTACCTGAACGCCATCCACCACCACAACAACATCTGGATACCTGACACGTACTTCATCATGCACGGTGATTTCAAAGATCCGATCATTCCGATGCACTTTTCTCTCCGGATATACCGGAACGGAAGTGTCAACTACCTTATGCGGTAAGTATTTAAGATGTACAAATCAAGTAGCGATCTGACTCAGTTTTGCAGGCAGCAGAACATATATGCAAATTTTTTCATGCTATAGTGTTACATCAGCTTGTCCATGGTAGAGGTTCTCGTTTCGTCTGAAGGAAGGAGGTGCTTCAGAATAAATGAGGCCTCTAGAACATTCTAAAAGACTCCAGAACATTTGAGAGTGTATGAGATCATTACATAACGTTGAATAACATTACAGATTAACCAAAATATTCTGGAATGCAGTGAAATGTGTGGGAGTGGTCTGTAACGTCTCAAACGAACAAATTATATGTTGTGGTAGCCCTGTATCCTGAATATATAGGAGAGGTTCCTTTTTTCAACTGAATGCGTAATTATTGAAATATAAGGGCCAGAATTTCCACCTCCAAATATTTTCTAGAACACTGCAGAAAAGACTCCACATAATTCAAGAAGATTCTTAGATATTATGAGTTTTAACACCACATTCTGGGACATCCGAGATCAACGGAGTTGGAAAACATTCCCTTTCTGAAGAGAGTTCCACTCTCACTGAATATCCAGAACAATCCAGGATATTCAAGACTATTCCACAACTTTTCAAAAAACCCTCATATTTCAACTACCTCACACAGATTATTGATGAATTATACACACAAACCTTTCTATTGAAATACTCCGTTCGTTGGTGGAGACCGTATGGAAATCCGTTCGTTGGTTTTTCAAATTATAGCGTTCAGAGAGACAAACAGGGCGAAGGACTTTGGTTTATAATTTGGAGAAATTCACAAAAGATATATGCAAGATGTGAAAATATTCGAAATGGAATTTGAACTATTCATATGTTCCATACGAAAATTACAGATACATTGGGCTTTTTCAAATTATTCATCAATATACGGGGTACCAAATAGAAGTGTGGTGTATCGAAGGTATTTCGAAATGAAATATCATAAAATGAAGAAAAGAGAAATGAAACTTTCTATGTTTTTCTAACACTTTTTTTTGTAACTAACGTTACTGCAGTTTCGTCCTATAGGGATGGTTAATGTCACTTGTAATTGTTACTTGTTTTTAAATACACAAGCACTGAGGTTTCACCATATCAAAAAAAATGTAATGAGTTGTCATTCTAATCAAACGAATCGAGTCCATCGATCTCAACTAGTTCGGATCAAACAATTTTCTCAGGATTACGAATAGATAAAAATCTCAATTGGAAGGCTCACTTCCATTACCTAATCTCAAAATTAAATTCGATTGCCTTTTAATTTAGAAATTTGCGCCATGTACTCAATATTGATCAATTGATACAGCTCTACTATGCACAAGTTGAAAGTAGGCTACGATACGGTGTGATATTTTGGGGTTTATCTACCCTAGCAAAAGATATCTTCGTGGCACAAAAACGAATTTAACGATCAATGACAGGGCTTTCACAGACAAAAGAATGATTTTTCAATTCCATTCGGAAAATTCAAAATAACTCACCAATCTCCCAGTCATATGGCTCCTAGANGCAGCTGCCCTAAGGAGAAATGCTCCAATTCCTGCTCTCTCATGGTCACGGACCATGCAGAGAAGGGGATCCGAACACCTGACAACTTTACAGGCTGTATCCAGTACCATTCTGTCATGAAGACACTCCAAACTCAAAAGTCCACGACCTCCCTGTTGTCGGGGGAAGTACAACCGTGGAACGGACGATTTGGGATGCAAACTCCTATAGAGATGCACTCTTCTTCACATTTCATTCAAAAGTAAACTAACTATCAACATATCACATTTCTACTCAGCATCTTATATATTGGTGAATGATTCAAATCTTTTACCAGTGCATTGGTATGCAAAATTACAGTGCAGAACATTTTTGATGACTTCATTTCCCATCTGAAACTTTTGAAAAAAAGTTTGATGTTACACATACATACGACGGCAGTAAAAATGATTGAATATTGATGAGAACCATTTTTTCATTGAGCTAGCAGAATTGACATATTGAAATACTTTCTATTTTGCAGGAGACATTTGATTTTATCATGCCAGGGTAGTTTGAACATTTTTCCATTCGACGATCCGACATGTACATTTTCGATGGAAAGCAGTAAGTACTCTTTGTAATCACCGTTTTTCTCCAACCCATGGTAGCTTCGTAGTTTTGTTCCATATTTACTCATATTATACCCAAACGTCCATGAAGCGTACTGAGTTAATATTCTGAAACGAATAAAATGAGCTCGGAAAAAATGAAGAAACTAGTAAAAATAAAATATACGCAATTACTCACTTGATACTTCAATCATTATTAAAACTTCACATTTCAGTTTATCTCCGATGACATCGAAGATCAGGTTGGGTTAGGTTAGGTCCAAAGTGAGTGGGTCTATTCGACGCTCCATCACAACCCGCAAGGGTTTATTGTGGCTCTCACTTATTCACACCCGACCAAATAAACCCAGCTTCTTAACGAAGTCCATTAGTTTGTACGATGAGTGGTCTTTCGGGTCAGGTGGTGGAAGTACGGCTCTGCTGATACCCGCGAGAACCTTCCCATATGAGGGTTTTTGCACGTCAGCTACATCTGACGATTCAACCGTGAAGGGGTTTTTCGCCTCTGGTTTTGGTGAATCACCTGCTCATAGGGGGTTTGTTGCTCCACCTGAAACAGATTCTGCGTACGCCGTCCGAGTCTCTGCACACATCGGAGATTAACTCAAGATGTATGAACCTCTTAAGAAGCTAGCCACTCGCGGCAACGAAACGTCAGGAAGAAATTCCAAAAAACAATGGAATCCACTTTGAACATTTACTTAATTGTTATTTTTAATAAATGTGTAGTTCAACAAAAACCTTATTAAATATTCCATTTGAGCCAAAGTTTCACAATTATTGCTTCACCCTGTACAATCATTATTTATAGCATTGGATAGTATTTTCAATGATGTATCACAAGTAGGGGTTTGCAAATTAATTTTGAGTTTTGGTGGGTGGGGGCTAGGGGGTTGAGTTCTCTTTCATGTCACTTTAATTCCCCTTTTTTATCCTAGAAACTGTTTCAAGCATTTTTCGATATCAGCTTTCGTTCGTGAGATATAGCCCATTGTAAGTTTTAAAACTGACACACTGTATATAAAAGTGCGTTATGTACACTATAAGTTCAGATCAAAGAGTTATACAATGATAATAAAACATAATAACGAAAGTGAGTTGAGTATGGGAGTATAGGTAAAGTTGGGTGTCCACAAATATATTTATCTATTTTTTTTTCCTTCATTTTTATGAATCTATTTTGATATTCACAAATATAAGCAGTATATTTGAGACAGTTCAAGTTAAATGTACTGTGGAGTTTTCGGTGTCTCTGTGTTCTTAAGGTTGAACATCTTCGAGAATTTGTTTGGGGGGCTGGTTTAAAATCCATAACTTCAACTTTTTTTTTTAATATAAAATCGCTTAACGACAAGCATCATACGACAATCAAGTACAAATTTCTATATCGATCAGTATACAGGGTGTAATATAAGTACGTTAAAATACTCAAGTGACATATTTCTGTGACAATTTTAAGAAAAAAAATCTATATAAACTTGAATCCGGAAATGCTTCGTTTCGGAGATACAGGGTGTTGAAATTGAATTGTTTGTTTGTTTTTTGGAAATAACTCTGGCGAAAAATATGTTATTTGCACGAAATTTGGTATCCTGGGTTTTTCGACGTGAGAAATCATAATAATGTATTGATTTTCATGTTACATCTAGAGAGCGCTGCGTACGCTGTCATTATTCATTTCAAATTGCCCTAATTTTTTTGACAGAAAACTTTGGGTACTTTTTGAGAAAACCTAATTTCCACACCTTTTCCAGATAAAGAAGATACACCTCCCCAACGACGCTGGAGGTGATCGTTTTCAAGATATTCACAATGAGGAATGTTTCTCCTGACGAAAATCAAGTAGTTTTCATGAAAGAGCTCTAAAACAACGCATTTTAAACTTATTATTTCAACCTTTTTCTTTAAAAAAATTATTTAAATACTTAAAAAAGAGGAATAAAATAATGCATTCAACATTCAAAGGGATTCGTTTCTATTTCACCATTTGGCAACATCGGTTATAGCTAATAAAGGACAATGAATCTGTTACCTGTATGAGACAAACAAAGATGACATATTTCAGAGGTGTGCTGTTCTGTTTACTTTTATGTTCCGAGTTCCAAGACATTCTGTGGCATATGACATTTTGTGCACCTAACCTATCTTCCTCTACATAAATAAATGACAAAACAACTGTTATTTATGTGGCTTGTGGAGGTGGTATTGAACTATAATTTATATTTTACCCTAATTAATGATTTATAAAGATAATTTTCCCTTTTTATAAAGTAGAATATCTAAGTACGTATAAATTATTTCAACTTGATATAGGCGCTGTTGCCAATATGTCAATTAGAAACAAATTTTTGAAAATTAAAACCCAACATTTGAAACATCAATTTGAATAATTTTCGAAGTGAATTTGAAAAACTCATGAATTAAACTCAACTTTATTTTGTTCAAACTTGCATTTGCTGTAATAACTCAAATTGAGGAACATTCCCCATTGTGTATATCGGTGCATATTACTTAGCTCCTAAGGCGCTAAGTGAAGTTTTTGAGAACATTACAAAAACTAAGTATGTGGTGGATCTCGTCAAAATAAACAACTTTTTTCTATGAAATGTTTATCGAAAAATCATTCGTTTTCGAGATACAAATTGTTGGAATTTTTTTAAAACTTGATTGGTTTCTGTCATAATTTTTTTGCAATTTTAGTTATTTTCGTCAAAACTTATAGGCAGTATACTCGGAGAATTATTGAACTGCTCAATCAATCCAAATTGAAAAAAATTGTCAGGTTTATTTATTCAATTAGAAAAAGTGGCTTTTATCCCAACACCTCGACATGTGCTTTGATCATCAAGTGATCGTCTTCAAGAGGAAGAATAAACATATAAAAATTGAACGAAACAACTATTACAACAACTGTTCAAAGTGACGAACCCCAACAGTAATACAAACTTCTGCCCTCCTCATCAAAAAATGTCGCATCCATTGAAAAATGTCTTTTCAGAATCCTTCAACATTTCTCCGTTTTCAGTGGGGCTAGTATAAACTCATACAGTAGTGATTTTAGGTGTCCCAAAAATCGACGGAATTGAGGTCCGGTAACCTCGGAGGCCAATGCTCCACTTCCTATCCATCGTTGGGGATATGCTACGTCTAATAAATGTCTTACTATCATAGTGAAATGAGCAAAGGCTCCATCACCAAGAGTGATTTAGGAGAACAATGGGGACATCATCACTAAGCTGGGAAATCTCGTGTTCCAAAAAATTTAGGTGAGCAACTCCATTCAAACGTAAGGGGAGAAAATAAAACTCAATTATTCCCCAATTATTCATACCCTTACATTAAAAGAGAACCGGTCTTGGAAATGAGTTTGCGTTATCGCATGTGAGTTATCTTTCTCCCAGATGTGGTTGTTATGGAAGTACATGATACCATTTCTTGAAGAGGATCTGTGAAGAGGATTTTCGATGAATTTTGGGGATGTTGTTTAATTTTTTTCCGAAGCCATTGAGCAAATTCGATACGTGGTTGGAAATCACTGAATATGATAACGATGTAATTGCTGTCCTTTTACAATTCTGTAAACTGTCATGTAGCTCACATTTTAAGTTCGACTGAATTTTCTTGTACTTGTCTCTGGATGTTCACTAATTTCTTTGAGAACCACCTCTTTCAATTCCACAGTTCTTGTAGTCCATGGCCGTCCTACTGCGGAATTTTTTCCAAAGCTTTCAGATTCGGAAAGTCACCGGAAAAGATTCGCAAATGTCACTGCACAAGGAGTCACGCGTTGGGGATACCTTTCCTGATAGATGCGTATGGCCTCGCTAGCATTTCCGTCAGCCAAACCGTATGCAAATACCATATCAGCCATTTCAGCATTCGTTAAGTTGGACATGGTGCCAAAAAATCACTTTATAAGCTCCGAAGTGTCAATTTGTCAATGAATAGTTGAAAATGTGGCAGCGAACTCCTATTTTGATAAACAAACGTTCATAGCCTCCTCAATTTAATTAACTTAATTTGCAAGCGGAGAGTGACTGAAATTATTGAAATCAAATTTGGCTAGACTGATTAGGCAGTTCGATAGTGCTCAAATTCCAAAAAAAACTTATGACAAAAACCAACCGTGTTTTGAAAAATTTCAACAATCCGTATCTCGAAAACTAATGATTTTTCAATGAACATTCCATATGAAAGACGAGATCTACCACATACTGAGTTTTTGTAATGTTTTCAGCAACTTCACTTAGCGCTAAGTAATATGAATCGATAGGTAGGTATAGAAAATTGTAAATATTCATTTCAATACGTACTCATGTTACACCCTGTATACCAGTACACAGTAGAATATTCATTTATTGAGATATGGAGCTACAAAAACAAATGACATTGAAACGGACAAAACTTTTAGAACAATCGAAATGGCATGATCGCCCCCTAAAAACAAACTTGATTAACATTGAACAATCCAAAATTTCCCATCCAAAAGAAAACTCTAACGACTAAATAATGTATGTTTCAGTATCCTACGAGATGACTTCGATGCGCTACGTATGGAAAAACGATGAGGATGTTCTTCGAAAGTCGCCGAGTCTAATGACCCTTAATGCTTACCTCATAAATAATTCAACGTTAATATGCCCCATAAAGTCTAGTTGGCGAGGTGAGTGAGATAATTTTTGTATTGGGAAAAAGTCGGTGATTTTATCAGGATAATGAGATATTAGAAGGATATGGAAATTTGGGAAAGGAGACTCGGAAGTGGCTTTCCGGAAATGTCTTATAAATAATTCTTTCACGAATACTTTTTTTAAATGACTCAATTTCGCATTTCGAGAAGTTGAAGCTGTTTAGGAATTTTGCTAGACGTTGATTTAGGTACTATTCCATCAATACATAATTGAACAGAAACTCATGTATAAATTGATGGATGTAGCCGTTACTACGTGGTAGGAACTCATAATGATGAAAAGAGAAATGATACTTTCTATGTTTTTTAATTTTATTTGTAACTAACGTTACTGCAGTTTCGTCCTATACGGACATTTTCAAACTTATACAATGAACTAACAATGGGTCATTACATTATCCATTATATACCACCCCTATAGGTACTTGGCTTGATTGAGTACCTGAATTTACAGTTTACAATGCGAATGTGCCAATTTAAAAAACCGGTGAGTAAACTAAATCGATTTGATCATTTAATAGGTTGCACCCGCAACGTTTATGCTCACTGCAAAAATTATTCTTGTGAAATCACATAATATTACGTTGGCCTTTTTGTAACCAACGTAAAATCATGTGATATCACAGGAATTTCTGTGAACGTCATATTACCAAATGAATTCTGTGAAAACTCCTTGTGAACATACATATTGAGACATGTGATTTTACCATACAAGTACTGTAATTTTCAAAATATCTTTTGTAATTTTCGACAATGAATGCAGGGAATCACATGGCTTATTATGAATATATTACAGTATTTATAATGTAGAAATGTATATTCACTTGTAATTGTCATTTGTAGTATCACATAAAATAAGCCCCTAATTCACGCGAATTAATGTATTAATCACATCGTCAGTTGTGTGAAATTATATCTATATACTATGTGATTGCAGTATGCTAAATTACACTGTATTTGGGAATCAAATATTATTTTCATTGTAATGATTTTACTACGTTTTCAAAATCCCAAGTATTAATAGGAAGAAAATTGGTTGAAAGGTTGATTGTGAATTTTTACTGAGAAAAATTGACAAATCAGGAAATAATGTTCTTTCATTAAACAACTGGAAAATACTCTGTTGAGAATCACTATTCCCTTTTTAAGAATACATATTTGCCATGTTTTCAAATTGAGGATCTTGAAAATATGGTAGACACTGCAAAATATAATATATTTCGAAGCACGAAAAAATGAGATTTGTATTATGTAGCATATAAAAGTTTATTAGTTTTAACAAAAACACATTCTAATCTTAGTAATTTATGATTTATGAATCAGTAATTTATTCATGAAGTTGAATACTTTTTTCTTCACACAAGTCATTTTTTTTGACTTGGATCCTGTATCCGGATGTATCTTCAAAAACATTCTCTGAAGAAATTCCAACGAAGTTTCTAAGTCCTTTGGGTACTTTGCATTCATAATGAAGTAAAAAGAGAAAGCTACTTTGAAAGCTTCTAGAAAGCTTTCGTATCCGTCCTTGATATTTTTCTTTTCAAAACACGCATGGTAAATTGACACTCCCTCAGAAGCTGAAAAAAATACATAGATTATTTTAAATTTCCATTCCAATGCTGATGAGAGTAACTGCTAGAAACGGTCGACATTTTGAATTGAATGCATTCAGTGTTGGATCAAAATATTTTTTACCTTTAGTATGGAGGTGACCTGACTCAAAAACTATAGTCAATCTGAGGTGTGATTTGGTATATTAATCACTTTGATGATGAAGTTTCTCAAGGAAAAAGAGCAATATAATCAAGAAAACTTGAACAAATGAGTGATTGTATCGAATACAAAACCTGATTGATGAAACGAAATGAATTAAAATTGCCTATGCAGCTGAAAATTTCTGAAAATGATTCATGAATGTGTAAATCTATTAATATATAGTATAAAGGGATAAAATACTGAGAGTAAAATTTTTCGACTGTGTATTTTCTCCCCATAAGGATTATTTTCACAACGTTTCGGCAAAGTCTCATTTGCCATCTTCTGGTGATGTCTGTTTTTTTTTCAACTAGACTGTTGAAAAAAACCAGACACTTAATAAGGCCAATTACTTTAGAAATATTGACAGCATCAGTCGTACCAACTATGCCATTAACCTTAAAAACATAAAATACAGAGATATATAACCAAAAAGCAGCTCCGTACGTTTTTTCAACATTTTTATTGGAAAAATGTTGATTGTTGAAGTGAAAAGTGTCAAGGAAGGAGGAATAAGGTCTAAAGGTGACCTAGTGAATATAAATGCTTGTGTTTTAAATAGTTTTAAATAGATGACCGTTTGGCGGGAGTTGGTCGTTTTTCGCTTGATTAGAGGTTTCCATATGTTACGTATCTCTACGCTAGCTTGACTAAATGCGTTGTTGTATTTTTACTCAACTCTTTGGTTCACATATGATATTCTGCGAATTCCATTATCACGTTTTTTATTGTGTAAAATTTAAGTTACCCTATAAATATTGTGAAAATCACAGTATATATCTATATTTTTCACAATAATTTTCAACAGTGCTTGTGAATTTCCAAGGATTCTAAATAATTGAGTGTGTAACCCTTCCTTGCATAGTGCAAAATTTCCGTATCGTTTAGATTCAGAAATTTGTGGTTGCATTTTTTCCTAGTCTGAAGGACCTTTCATGTTCAGCATACCGTTTTTGGAAATTTTGGCCACATTGTCCCACAACACTCCGGACACTTAAGCTTATAAAATCCAGATTTCTCCAACTTGTCCACCTTATCTTTGGCATTGAAAAGGAAATGAGATAACCTGGCATGTCGTCTGAATGCCACTTCCACATTGTTTTTTCTGAAGAAACCCACAATTATCTCTGTTCTTTTTCCAAAATATGTTAGAGTTGTTTGACCTGAATGTATATTAATCTGTAAGTGAATATCCGGCTTTCCTGACTAACTTCTGGATAGTATCTGCGTTGAAACCATTATTATGACTTATCTGTGTAATTGTATCAATTTCCATAGCTAGATTGTCTGCCGACAAAGGCAGTGAGAATGCTCTGTGCAACATTGAATTGTAGGCTGCTAATTTATGACTACCTGGATGGAAAGAATCGCTTGGGATGGTGATGTCTGTATAGCTAGGTTTTCTGAAAACATTGAACTCGAATTTATTCCGATTGGGTGTAATGGCCAGGTCTAAGAAATTTATTTGTTTCTCTATCTCTGTTTCGAGTGTGAACTGAATGTTGCTATTGAGATTGTTCATGAATATCATAAATTGGTTCAGCTGTCGTGAAGTACCTCTGAAACAAGCAAGAATATCGTCTACATATCTGTACCAAAAATGAATATGTTTTTTACCCAGGTCGGAGTTCACTATCTTGGTCTCCAAGTTGTTCATAAATATGTCTGCTAAAAGTGGACTAAGGGGTGAGCCTATTGGTAAACCTGAATCCTGTTTATAAAATTTGTTGTTGAACTGTAGGTAGCTCTGATTTAGGCACACATCGAAAGCTATTGAAACTTCAAAGGAAGTGATATGGTCTACTCTGGCTTGATCTAATATGTCTAAAAGCTCCATTTCTGTATCATACAATAAAAGGGGAGGATTTGAAAAAACATTGTTAGATTTAGATTCATTGCAGATTCAATGAATCCGCAATGGCAAAATTTAAAAAAAAACGACGAGGATGGGATTCGAACCCACGCGGGCAGAGCCCATTGGATTAGCAGTCCAACGCCTTAACCACTCGGCCACCTCGTCATGCGTGATCCGAGAAAATACTAGTTTAACGTCATATATGCCCAGGAATAATACCAACAACTAAATTTTGTATTTTTTCAGGTTATATGAAAAAGTTGCTTCTTTCTGAAAGTGTTTTATAGTTGTAGGCAGGGCCGTCGCCATGGGGGGATGCGGGGGTGGGCTCCCCCCTGCTTTTTCGACTTGGGAAAAAGTTGGGAAATTTTGGGCCGTGAAGATAGAAAAAAATAATTGTAAAAATGAATAAAAATTGAAAAACAAAAATTAGAGAAAAGAAAGGGAGAGGCAATAAGAAAAGGGAAAGAAGCAGGAGAAGGTTGGGATTTCCAACATGCATAACTTGGAGATCCCATACTTTGAATTTCTGAGTTGTTTGAAAACTTCAAAAAAGTTTAATTTCTCCCAAGTTAGAGAACAGTCATGAACAAAAACAAAATTCCCAATTTTTCGCTGTTTTTTCGACTTTTCGCTGTTTCGGGCCGTGAAGTAGTAGAAAACAATTAGCACAATATTATGGTGTTTTTTCCTTTCATTTGTATTGAATATTCCTATACATGGTGTGATATGGTGGAAGACCAAGGACCTTGGTCCAAAATAGAATAATTCCAGTTATTATTTTCATAATTACCAAAATTAATTTTTGTTTGTGCATACCCTAACGTGCATAAGCATTCAGCCAATCTTTGGATAGCTGAGTAAGAACATTATTATATTATAGTACTAACTAATCCCTCGGTATTCATTTTTTCGAAAATTGGGAAATTTTGCTGGTGGGATTGGGAAAATTTGGATTCCCTCCCCCCTGGCTATTCTTTTCGCTACGGCCCTGGTTGCAGGAAACAATCTTTTTGATTTTTTTTTCAGGGTTATCAAATCAATTTATATTATTTTAGACAATGGAAGTCCGAACTGATGAAATACACCACGAAACATTGTCATTCCCTACAACAAACTTGCTGTTTTGCTGTACACGGTTGCCGAAAAAATGGTGTACGCAACCCGTCCGAAAACAGTATTTTTAGACTCACAGTCGTCCAGGACTCGCTTAAGGGTCGTCTTCTAGTCCAAAAAACAGTATTTTCCGGACTTTTTAAGTAAATTACTATTTCTGACATATATACAAAGTTCATGTAGAGCCATTTGGGAAAAAGTTCTGGAAAAATCTCGGTCATCATTACAAAGTATCTGAGTTTGAGTGATCCGGAGCAAGTAGTTGAATCAACTACTGGAGCAGCATACAGATCTCTGTCTGCAACCTCCTGGTAGAGAATAGAACCAAAAGAAACACGTTGAAGCACCATGGTAGGCAATCCTTCTGAATATGGCACTATCCTTCATGAAAAATGAATTAATTAACAACCTTGTCTGAAATTACTTTTATCGAATTCTTCCAGAATAACCAGTTGCTGAATTGGAAATAATATTAGATTTTTAGTTGAATAATAGATAATACAAATACATAGTTTGTAATTTCATTAATGAAAGTTCTTAATGAATAAGTTGGTCAGAAACTGTTTTATTTTTCTCATTGGCCATGCACACAACACACGGATATGAAGTAACAATAAAAACAAAATAATGAATTAGATTATTGAGTAGTTTGGTATAAAAAAATTATCAAACCGTAAAAGAAGTACAAGAAAGAAAATACCTCATATTTTTTATAATGTTTTTATGGTTTCAAAATAAAAAAAGTTCGACGAGGATGGGATTCGAACCCACGCGGGCAGAGCCCATTGGATTAGCAGTCCAACGCCTTAACCACTCGGCCACCTCGTCATGTGTGATCTTATCCCATATGCATTTTGAGTGATATAGGTAGTCCACGAAGATTTAAAACACCTTTGAAAAATCGTGAAGTACACCATATCTTTATCTGCAAAAAAAAAACTTATCACTGCCTTTCAGTACTGAAGTGAGAGATAAAATATAATTAGAAAACGAAGTGTAGTCCAGCTGATGAATAAAAGAGACAGGGTTGATTGGATAGATTACTTACCCAGAATAGTGGAATTTTCTATGCAAATGATTTGTATAGTTTCACCGAGTTTATTACTACTCCTGACGAAAATTTTTGGAGAAGATCGAATATCTCGACTTGAGTGAATACTTTATTGTGATATTTTGTCTAGATAGTTTACTAAACAGCCACACCTGTTTCACTATACGATAACTTCCTCAGGCATGTTTATGCCAACTAAATTCTACTTACTTATATATTGCTTTGTATAAATTATTGACTTCAATCATTTAACCTTCTACCCATTTAGTGACGAATAATTTCATCTGAACTTACGTATTTAAAATTACAGGCACTCCGAAAAATTGAGATTGGAAGAGAAATAGTTATTTGAAACCCAATCAGAAGATATCCGAATTTCAAAAATTTACTGAATGGCCGAAAAGAATTGAATACTTATTTCTCCTTTAATGAATATTTTTTCTGATGTGGAAATTGGTAATTAATTGATACGTAAATCATATGTCCTAATTGATTAGTTTGTGCAATTTCTTTTCTGATATTGAAATTTGTTATTAGTTTAGAATTATTGTAAAAATCCTCAAAAATAATCGAATGAGCTATTTCGATAAATGAAGGTGAGCACATTCGTTTTGATTTCATATCGTCACCTCAAAAACTGAAATGAATTTTAAATGTCCACAATTTAAATGAGAAAAAACTCTCCATAAATGATTACCAAACGGCATCGATGGTTTTGCCCTCTGTTTTTGGGATTTTCCATATTTTTTCATCTCAAAAATTTCCTATGTATTTATGAGAAACCAAAGCAAAGTTCCATCTAGATCGAGTGAACAGTGTATTGTGTTTTTTCCAACGAATATTTGACGTGATTATTCTGACATACATTTTTATTCATCAATCAATTTGAATGAATCGTACACTAAATGTTGAGCATCCAATTCAGATGAATCCTTTTTGAGATTACCGTCCACAAACAATGGTCAAACAGATAAAGAAAGACCCCCAACAATAGTTTTTCCCGATATCCTCCATGTAGGGCATACAATTATGCTTAAATTGTACGTATTGATTCAATTGATTATCCTAATATAAGTATAACAAATAAAAACAGACTTTCTGTTTGCCACACCATAGTGTGGCAATTAATTTGAAACAAAATTGTACCTACGACTCAAAATGCCATTGGAATGATGAAAATAAGCTTTTGAGACTCTTATTTAACCACAATAAGACTAAAAATTTGTAATGAAATAAGGTTCTGAATCCGTAAATATAAAAAAACTAGCGGTTGAATTTTGAGGATGAATGCTGTGTTCATTTTTGAATTCCAAGTTGTATAATTTATTATCAAATTCTCATTTAGAAAACTACACGTTATTCATTTCGGTCTCCACAAATGAGATTCTCAGAAATGATGCTCGTTCTGAAATATGCAAATCCTTGACCAGTTCAGTGTGTGATAAAAGATTTCTAATTTAATGGTTTTCTTATTCAAATTCAACATATATTGACTAATAAACAACAAATAATGAATATCTCATATAGCTATTCCGAGTCTTCCTAATTTATTTTTCACAACCTCTCCACTGATACTTCATAGTAATTTTTATTTTATTTTTTCAGGTAACTATAGCTGTCTCATGGTAGAACTTATATTTACCAGAGATCGAGCCTTTTATTTCACGACAGTATTTATACCAGGAATAATATTAGTGACGTCGTCCTTCATAACCTTTTGGTTAGAATGGAATGCAGTGCCTGCTAGAGTAATGATTGGTGAGTAGGATTAGGTCGTTTCAAAAATTCTTTCCGCTCAAATCTAATGTGTTTTGTAGCTTCATGCCTAAATAAATATGTATTTTATCATACCGTGGTATACACAGACCGTTTCTTTTTTTATGTGGTGCCATTGCTATATTCTAAACCGTAACGACATGGCCACCATCAACTTCTTTTTTAAATATGGACCTGTCTTTTTCATTACAGATATTGATGAAGCAATAAATTCACATTCACAATCCAAAGGTATATCACATTTGATATTTTTATAGAGTTTCGTTTGAAATAACTACCATCATCAGTGACAACAATTTTAAATTACAGTCCTGCCGTTACTTCTTTTGTAAATTGTTTCGATTTATTCAAAATATAATTCAGACAAACCAATAAATTCGACAGGAAGGTACCCTAACAATAAAAATTCGTAATTTTTCGTTTCTTTCAAGGCTCATTTCTCCCTAATCAATTATAATTCGTAATATTTTTATAATTTTCAATCCTGGAAGTAACGAAAATGTCAGTTTTTGGTCAAAATTCGATTGTTGTATAATTTGGTATGATGAAATAGCATCTCAATTCATTTCTGTTTAAAAAAAATCAAAGATGTATTCAAATGATGAAAGGACTGATATGTTATTTAATTATGCAAAATCAAATAGAAATACTCTTTTGGGAAGGAATATGTATGAGCTATACCTGAATCGTCGAATTCCGAACATCCAAATGTTCAGACGATTATATAAAAAGGAATTCGAGGCACTATGTTGCATTTGACGGAAAAAAAAACAAGAAAATGTGTGGTTACTGGAAGTGTGAGGAATCAAATAAATGTTATGCGTAAGCAAATATTACCACATAAAAATGTACACAGTGAAAATACATTTTTTTAAAATTAAGAATTGACCAGTTACAAAAATTATGTAATCAAGATTGTTCTTCACGAGAAATTGTCCTCGAAATGGGGATTTCTGTAAAATCCACAAGAAATATTTTGAAAAAGAATAAATATGCTACAGGATACGCAAAGTTCATCACCTCAATGGAAGGGATTACGAAAGGAGAGTACGATTTGCGAAGTTGTTAAGACGTATAAATAGGGAAGTTGGAAATATTTGTAAAAAAGTGATATAGACGGATGAATGAAAATTCACCAACAATGGTTGGTTTAACAGAAATGTCCATTATAGGTGGAATAACATAAATGAACATTTATATAGAAATTAACACAAAAATTAACCAGGCCTTTGGCCTGTATATTTAATGAACGCAATGTTGGATGTTGGTTTGCAAAATTCAGTTCCAGATTTTTAGGCTTCGATAAAAGAGCCCCGAAGTGGTCGACCCACAGTAATCCTGGCCGACGATTGAGGACAGAGGGTAAGTTCAGGACAGTGGTTGGACACCGATAAGCCATCCAGGCAATGAGCCACCCAGGAACCTCCCAAATCACCAGATTTGCCTCCCTGCGACTTTTTCCTTTTCCCAAAATTGAAGATACCCATGAAAGGACAGCGTTTTACGACGACTGAGGAGTAAAAGAATCGCTGAGAGAGCAAGGACATACCAAAAAGTGCACATCAGAACATCTTCGAGGATTTAAAAAAAAAATGCTGGCACATGCTGGCTGCATGTATAAATGAATATTTTCTGAGTAAAATGAAAATTCACCCTATTTTACATGCTTTCTATTAGCTTCACCTGTATGTATGCATGTATGTATGTTTGTATGTATGTTTGTTTGTTTGTAACTCTCAAGCTTGGGATCTGTATTGACAGAATTATCGACATTATTGCTTGATCTATTTGCGGACAGATGGCGCTGTTCGTAACCTCCTGGATATTTTTTGATCGGTTCGCGGGCAGATGGCGTTGTACGTAAACTCCTTGATAGGTTGTTCAAAAAAAAAACAAAATATAAAATGGATTTTAAGAATTATAAGTGTTAGCGAAATTTTGTACTACAGATGAAATATTTAGATTTTGAAATATTTTCAATTACCCGTGTTTTAGTACAGAAAAAACTTTTGAACGAAACTGAAGATAGATTTTAAAATCTAATTCGATTATTTGAAAGCAAACCAGAATGTAGATTTCAACAATGAGAACGTTATCGTGAATTGTACTCCTCAAAAATTCAGTTACCTACTTAAATATTTCAACAAATCGAAAAATCAGAATTAGGGTGCTTGATTGACATACATATCAAATCAAAAGAATAATTTGAAAAATAAAATTAAAATCCATTAATATTTTGAATTAAACTTCAAATGAAAACATCAAGACAGAATTATTTTTTGAAATTATTACTTTACTTCTCTTTACTTCGAAAAAATGTTTACAAATGTCCTCCCTCTGTTGGAGACTTACTATACTACCCGCATCTCAGTATCACTATAGAATATAAGACCTCAAACTTTATTATGTTGTTTGAGAGGAATTTTACATTGATGCTTTCATAGCATATGAAACTAAAAAGTAAAAAATAAATATAGTTTCAAAAATTAAAAAACAGGCTTTCAAAGAACATCGAACTAAAAAGTTATAAATATTTTTTTTTAATAAGCTTAAAATATATCGAACGAAAAATACTAGTATTTTTGTGAAAAAAACGTGGACGCTTTGTGCCATATTTCTTGTATATCAAGCGCCTGTCACTTTTTTCACAATAATATTAGTATTTTTCGTTCGTTATTGTTTTAAGCTCATTTGAAAAAATATTTTTTACTTTTTAGTTCGATGTTCTTTAAAAGCGTGTTTTTTAGCTTTTTAAAACTATATTCATTTTTCACTCTTAGTTTCATATGCTATAAAAGCGTGTATTTCAGTTTTTTAAAACTATATTTATTTTTCACTTTTTAGTTTCATGTTCTATAAAAACGTGATTTTTAATTTTCTTTAACTCTATTTATTTTTACAGTACTCGTATTTTCACACGTAAAATCACTTCTAAGCTCTTCAACTTCTACGTTGTGCTTGTTTCACAGACTTTTCATTCATGTACCTACCTAATGATCGTTTATTTTTTCCAGGTGTAACGACAATGCTCAATTTTTTCACAACTTCAAATGGTTTTCGTTCGACTTTGCCGGTGGTGTCGAATCTGACGGCTATGAACGTTTGGGACGGGGTGTGCATGTGCTTCATATACGCTTCTTTGCTGGAATTCGTTTGCGTAAATTATGTGGGGCGAAAACGACCCTTACACAACGTCGTCTACAGACCCGGAGAAAATCCTGTAACGCAGGTCAGTATATTGTGTGACGATTCGTGATTGTTACATCGGTTTCAAATTGGGGGATATCAGAATAGTGGACGCAAAAGTGAATATTCAATGAAGTGAATGCTGTGGACAGGGCCGTAGCGAAAAGAAAACCCAAGGGGAGAAGGGAATCAAAATTTTCCTAACCCCACCAGCAAAATTTCGTAACTTTCGAAAAAATGAAAGCCGAGGGATTAGTTACTACTATAATATATTAATTTTCTTACTTAGCTATCCAAAGATTGGCTGAATGCTTATGCCCGTTAGGGTATGCACAAACAAAAATAAATTTTGGTAATTATAAAAATAATAATGGGAATTATTCTACTTTGGACCAAGGTCCTTGGTCTTCCACCAATATTCAATACAAATGAAAGGAAACAACACTTAAATAATATTGTGCTTATTGTTTTCTACTATTATTTTTCCCAACTCTTCCAAGTCGAATAAACAGCGAAAAGTTGGGAATTTTGTAAAATTGTCACTTAAAAATTTGTGGACTGTTCAGGACTGTACTCTTACTTGGGATAAATTAAACTTTTTTGAAGTTTTCAAACAACTAAGAATTTCAAAGTATGGGAAATCCAAGTTATGCATGTTGGGAAATCCCAACCTTGTCCTGGTTCTTTCTCTTTTCTTATTACCTCTCCCTTTCTTTTCTCTCATTTTTATTTTTTCAATTTTCATTCAGTTTTTACTATTATTTTTTCCTATCTTCACGGCCCAAAATTTCCCAACTTTTTCCCGAATCGAAAAAGAAGGGGGGCTCCCCCCTTGGCGATGGCCCCGACTGTGGAGGATGACGTTTTAGAAAAATATCGTTCCGAAATTAACTCCACCATACAATAAGATCCTGTTGAAGAAAATATGTCATTATCAGTATCACTTCGATTGGAATCGTTCAGATGATCATGAAAATAAGAGTCTCCTAATTTATGTAAAAACAGAATGTACCGTCTCTTTGGCTCAAAATTCACGGTACTTCAAATCATGCACACATGTCCCATTACTTTTTCACAGCACCGGCAGTTGAATGGGCTATCAAGTCTTTTCAGCCCTTCAAATCTCCCGGAGAGGATGGTATATTTCCAGCTCTTCTTCAAAACGAACTGGAAATAATTTTACCTATTATCACATAATTGTATAGAGCTAGTCTGGCGTGGAACTACATACCACCCAGTTGGTTGGCAGCAAGGGTATGTACCTAAAGTGGGCCGGAAAGACCCACACCTCAAATCGATACGACCAATCAGCCTTACATCCTTCCTGCTGGAAGGACTTGAGAGGATACTGGACAGACATATCAGGAGGATAGCATTATATGCATCCCCACTGAATAACCACCAGTATGCTTATTAAATCGGCAAATTGACAGATTCAGCATTAAACAACCTCCCAATCCCTTGACAACAAGGAGATTGCGGTTGGTGTATTTCTTGATATTGAAGGAGCATTTGACAATGCACTACCTAAATCTATAGGATTGTCTCTGGCTAGAAAGGGTATAGAATCGACCATAACTGGCTGGATCTATGCCATGCTAGTAAACAGAACTGCAACTACGAGTCTTCAAGGCGAGGCTATCAGGTTCAGGGTCACCAGGGGCTGCCCTCAAGGTGGGGTACTATCTCCCCTTCTGTGGTCGCTCCTGGTGAATAGTCTGCTTGATGCCCTCGACAAAAGAAAAGTTGATCTGCAAGCTTATGCAGATGAACTTGTCATCCTGACAAGGTCCACGTCGGGATGTAATATCCACCAAAGCGCGTTGGACGTTGTTCACAGTTGGTGCCTGAGGGAGCAGATATCTGTCAACCCCAGAAACACTGTGTTGATCCCCTTCACCAAGAGAAGGAAATTGGACGATCTAACGCCACTTTTCCTCAATGGTGTGGTCATTCCATTTGGAACGGAGGTGAAATATCTTGGCATTGTCTTTGATGAAAGACTCACCTGGACCGCTCACTTGGAAACAGTTTTACACAAAGCCAGACTGTCTCTATAGACATGTCGAAGGATTTGTGGTGGAATTTGGGGTTTAGGTCCCAAACAAATCCATTGGATTTATGTGATGATTGTCAAACCAATGATTACTTATGTTGCAATTGCTTGGTGGCCGAAGGCTTAGCAAAAAACGGTCCAAGCGAAGCTCTCTGGCTTACAGAGACAGGCTTATCTGGCTATCAGTGGTGCCATCAGTACCACACCGTCAGCGGCCATTGAGATCATTCTAGATCTACCTCCTATCCACATTCTTCTGGAAATAAAGGCTAGATGGACTACATACAGACTTGTGCACATTGCCAATTGCACAAATCAATTCAATGCAGAGTGCAACAGAATGCTGGTTGACATTGGAAGTCACAGCATTCTGGAAATCACCTCTGACTTTATGCCTTTATGAAGAAGTTTTCCCGAGTATAGAGGACTGGATCCTGCCAAACAAACACTGAACACCTGGATGGCAAGAAGATTTATGGACTACTGGCAGAATCTTCTAGGATTATTCCAAGGCGTTTATTCACCCTTCAAAGCTTGATTCCAAACAGTTGTTGGACTACAGTAGCGATGAACTACGATGTCTAACAGGCCTTCTGACAGGTCACTGTCATTTGAATCATCACATGCAGAGACTTGGACTGTCGGAAGACAGTGTGTGTCGCCTCTGTCTGGAAAATGATGAAACTGCAGAGCATATACTTTGTGCCTGCCCCGCTGGGAACCGAATCAGGTTTTTTTGAGTTCGGAAGATCCGTACTCTCACCATCTGACCTGAAAGACCACTCACCGTACAAACTAATCGGCTTCGTTAAGAAGCTGGGTTTATTTGGCCGAATGTGAATAGGTGTGAGCCACAATTAACCCTTATGGGTTCATTGTGGCAAACCCTTATGGGTTTATTGTGGCAAACCCATAAGGGTTTATTGCGGCTCACACCTATTGTGGCGGTGGAGGGTCGAATAGACCCACTCACTTTAGACCTAACTACCTACCTACCTAATACTTTTATGGGATCTTTGGACTAAAAGTAGAGAAAACTATACGTTTTCATCATTGTAACATTCCATTTTTTCATTCTTCATTTTACACTATTCGTGAGATCACGAAGAAATAATATGCGAGGATTGTGATAGGAAATATATTGGTCAAACCAAACAGACTATTTTAGATCGCTACAAGGAACATGTTTCGCATATTCGGTTACATATATCGGAGAAATCTAGTGTTTCTCAACATACCATACAGACCGATCACAGAATAATTGAGAAATGTTTGATATTCTTGAGACCGCTACATGACAACAGGTTTCTGGATATCTTTGAAACTTGGAAATCGAAAAGTGTGGAATGAGTTCTATGAATAGCGACGAAGGTCGTATTTTGTACAGCCCTCTGTTTGGTTTTATACGTAAGAATTCCAAATAAAAAAAACAGATAAATATTAGAGAAAACATGTAGGGGATAGTCATTAATAGAGAGGAAATACAGAACCAATTGGAGGTTTGAAAGGATCTGTTTAAAATCTAATTTTCCGTTAACTAGCTGTCGCACCCTTCCTTACCTTTCAACGTGTGATTCCTAATAGTAGTTAGGTACTACTAACACGTAGTAGTTATATGCCACTAGCATATAAAAACACTAACATGGTAGTGAAATTCAGTCATAATGATCTCCTGAGGACGCTAATTTGGTTAGCGAAACGCGCGTCGGGATACCGTATTTTGTTCTGGTGTTGTGAAAGTGTTTTCAATAGATACAAAGAAACCCCTTCTTGCCAATTTTGAACTTTAGATTGTAACATACCAAATATTTGAAATTTCTTTCCACAGATTTCAGTTACTTCTTAGTAGTCTACAGTAGTACTCCAAATAAATCATAAACAGAACATTGACACCTATTCATAGTCCATATTGTTCATTTCAATTATTTTATTCACCAGAGATCGAACAAGATATTCGATCTTCCTCTTGAAGATGATCACTTGGTGATCGAAAAACCCGTCGAGGTGGTAAAATAACGGTTTTGTCTTGGCATATAACTCCAGTATTTTTTTTAACACACCAAAGGTACCAAACACTGCATCACAAGTACTATTCTTCTTTTATTCAGTGATAGAGTTTATTTTCTTTGACTTGAAAGGGCATATTTCAGAATATTCACACATTCTTTGTAACAAGATGAAGAAGTAGAAGGTCAAAAACATTCTTTCCCAAAGTTTAGTTTCATAGTGTAGTCTTGAATAGAGTAATAAGTGTGGCACAGAGATAGAGAGAGAGAAATACTTATTTTAAGTAATATCATATTTGGAATTGGTGGAGTGTATATGAATAATGTAACAGGTGATGGAATTGTCTAAACTTTGAACCGATACTAATCTTACGTGTACATACGTATAGAGAACACTCAGTGGTGATTTGAGTAGAATATTTGAGAATCATCCAAAGAATAACTTTTAACTTCTTAAAGTTCAGTCAGGCAAAATCATAAAGATTATACGATCATGAAAAGCATAAGAACCAACTACTAATAGTATAAAAACAGGAATAAACTAAATGAATTGGACACTACCAGGAGATCTTCGTGAAAGTGTCTTTCTGCACTGTAAAATATAGGTCAGAGGTGGTTACTCCTGGAGACTCCAGAATCCCGGATCTCAAGAAGCAGAAGAGTATATTTGGTTTATGGAAATAGTACATTGAACCCTAGTGTATGATCCTGTATTTTGTTATTATCCCTACTAAAAGAGTTATTGGAGAGAGTTGGTCAACAGTGACAAGTGTTGAAAAGGGGTACGGTATTTCTACAAACTTCTGTAGATGGCATTCCAATAGGAGCTTTCAATTTGGTGAGCCTTTTCAGCACAGCAATTGAATTTCTATAGAAAATCAAGAACCGACCTACGCCCTTGTCACCGCAAATCATGAGCTAGTCATTCCAACTGGGCACATGTACTGCTTTGTTGCTCTAGAGCAAAAAACGAGTAAGGAA